TGAAAGAGTTCTTACGTTTTCTTGTCAACATTTTCCCATTTAATATGGCAGTTCACAAAGGCATATTTTTATTTTTCTTAATTATAGGTATAACACTACTGTAAAACCTTGATTGACAATTATTTATAATAGAAAACTCGAAGATTAACTACCATAAAACCTAATAGGCCTAAAATTAATGCCAATAACACTTGATGCACGCCCCTATCGGTAAAAAGCAAAGAAGTTATTTTGTTATGATGTGTATACCTTTAACTAGCTGGCGAAGAATGATTACAATTATACCTGTCATAATACATTAGTATTAGGCCTGTTACATTCTTATACATAACATTCTTTCTCTAGTCCCTTAAGGATTTTCAAGAATTAGAAGAGTGAATAATAATAATAGTATCCCACCCACACCATATTTGTCATATCCTATGCCGACGACGTTTCGCTCAATCCAGAGCTCTTCAGACCGGATGGGGTCCAACAAATACAGCAGTGGTCGGAACACCAGTTCTTTAAGGGACTAAATAAAGAACGTAGTGTTTAAAAACTTAATACTAAAGCCTTATGACAGATATAGTTGTAAACAAGTTATTTTAATTATATATGTCTTCAAAAAGATATTGGGCATGTTTGATTTTGTGTCGCAGCGTAGCGCACTGGCACATGAAATTGGAGCTGAGTTCCGACAATTCAAAACTATATATATATGTATATAAAAAAATACATTTTCACTTCAAACCTGAAATTAAGAGTTTTTCAAAACCAAAATCTCAGAGTGCCAGAGTATACTGGCTATTTGTGATCCCCTGGAAAAGCTCTCTCAAACTTCCCAGCACACATTTTGTCACTCACCTTCAGCAGCTAGTGTCAGGCACGGGGCGACCGCTCTGGCTCAAGAGCAAGTTACAGAGCATTAAAAAGTGAAATGTTTTTTGTCATACCTTAAATCATTATTAAGACATATGAATAAGGTATTAAAACACATTTTAAAAGGCTTATTATTTACTTGATATACAACCAAGATAGCTTTTTAACTATTCATATTGGCAGGACGAAAAGTGTGCAAAGCATTATAAAAGTCAAAGTTCTTAATACTGCTTTCATACTGTTATGTCTCCGTTCGTTAGTTAATTTTCCGTAAATTCGTTCCGACGAAACTTTAGCGACACAAGTTCTTTCTTAAATAAAACTGGTTTATTCTTTCTGAATATAACTTTGCGATACACTTAATTTCAACAGTCACGCTATAATTCTCGACGAACGTCTCACGTGCTCGACTTCAACAATACTCAGTTAAATTACACACTCTCTGACTGCAGTTCAATTACTCCTTGTTCCGTCACGTTGAGACCGTCTTATATATACCAGCCTACCCCCAATCTAGTAGTCTCCCGATAATTCACGAAGGTTCGAGAAGGACGTGGCGTGATACTAGTCACGTGACCTCGCTGACGCAACAATACTATTGTTGGTAAAACTGCAGTTGAAGAAGACTAAAAGTATTGTAGATACGTACCGATTTTTACCTTTCCCACTTTAATTGAAAGGATAGATCTCAGTGTTTCTTTAAAAAAAAACATCACAGTATGAAATCGTAAAAAAACGATCAGTGAAAATGTGCTGAATAATTCTTTAAACGCTGTTTGTACAGCGTTTGTGTAAAACAACACAAAAACAATTAAATATGTAACCTTTGTGTTTGCTATGTTGTAGCGGTCTCTATCATTGGACAAGTTCTTTTTTTTATTAGGTAAAAATAATGCAAATTACAGTCCACCAGTCAAAAATGAAAGCATTTTATTTCTTTAACTGGAAGTATGAAGCTTACACGGTTCCACAAACTTACGATAACCATGCCATAGGTCTAACTTACAAATATATTACGTACTTGTTAAATCCTCTCGTATCTACAGCACTAACTGAAATCTGAGTGACTAAAACCTTTACTAGGTAATTAATCTGCAATACAATGCAGTAACAGACTCACTACCTGACTAACTAACTCACTGTCTAACTGGTTGTCTCATTAACTAACTTACATTATCTATCCAGTGTTTTACATATCAAAATATTTATTTCTTCAAATCTCACTAAAAATTCAAGACGTCACTTTATATCTAGAGTTCTAAACATTTAGGAAAGTTGTGAACATCATACATAAGCATCAGGTCATACCAAAACTTCCTGTAGCAAATAGTACAAAACATCTAAATTGAAATATAAAAAAAAGTGTTGAATGCTGCCCTTTACCTGGATTGTAAAGTCCCTTAAACAATCTTAATATACAAATAAAATAATAATATATCAAGCTCAAACTCTCATAATCAGTCACTATTTAGAAATAACTAGAAAATTAATTTCCACAAATAAATATAATATCTCTATATCATTAATTAAAAGAGTTGAAGTATAATCACGGTTATGCCTAACAAAACAGTATCTTCTTTTGGAGCTTATTTAACGTCTAAAATTTGCCATTCACTAAATCATTTTGGAGGTGTGGCATCTCGAGAAGTTTTGATGAAGCAGAAATGTTCAGCTCCACAAAAATAGGAACTTTGCAGACGTTTTTGCGAATTTGTTTTCCGTCATTCAGTTCGACTTGCTAGCATCTGGAAGCCAGTTATAAAATCTTGAACCATCAAGAACTTTCCAACACATCAAAAATTTCACCTGTTAGCAGTAGGGAAAAGGCATTAGTGCGAATTACTGCATTCATCCATCTAAAATCAGCCCAAAGTCTTGGAGCAACTTCCTTCTTTCTGACAATCATTACTGGATGTGAACAAGCATTCTAAGATTGTATGACTCCATCCTTTGGCATCTGCTGCATCTCAATACTGATCATTTCCCTAGTTCTTCAAGGAACTTGATGCACATTTGCTTTAATAGGCATGCATTGCCTCTATCTATGTTATGGCAAATCACTTTTCTTCGACCCAACAATCATCCATCTGATCCCACAAATGCATCAGCAAACACAAACAACACGAAATTGAATTGCTTTTGCTCCATTTTGTCTAAACTGTTTGCACAATACTCAACCAACAATCTCAGCCACTTATTCACATGTGATGCTGTGTAATAGATGAAACTCTATCATTACTACTAGCCTCAGTTATTTCCACTTTGCTTACTGCATATATGACCATTCCAATATAAACGTGGATAGCCAATCACCCCAAATTACAAAACGACACTGGGATTTCATTCTTCCTCAGGCAGATAATTATCTAAACTAATGCTGCTTGTATTCTGGATGGGAAATAGATCATTTCAGGTGTAGCTTCTATAACTGTATTATATTGTACTGATACACTATTCGTTCATAGTAAACCACGAAACTATTACCCGTGTATTTGAGGTACTGTTATTTCCTTAACCACATAAACTCATGCCATCCACTGTTGTTGATCTGGTCAACATCAGATAACTCCTATGGAATATCAGTTCACCAGTTGCTCAGGCAGAACTGACAAATAAATTCGGCAATATATCCATTCTGAGGATGCTAATGCCAGATATGAATACTTTTGTTCTGTGAGCAATATATTCTATCTACAGCAAGAATTTTGACTCGTCAGTCGTGTCTAGTCTATTGCCATTTGCCCAAACAAAGTTGGTATCCACTAACTGGAGTGGTGATCTAGCTTGATATATATATTTATATATATATATACACATACCATGAGATGTAAAAGTTCTGACCATTCTATATCAACTAGGAACTTAATCTCTCACCCTTACAGGTACATACTACAACAAAACTCCATCCAGCCCCAAAAGAGCTCAGTTGACCATCAAACCTTTTGGGGCAGCTTGTCCTGCTCAGATTGGATTTTATTAGTTTCTGGATCTGTGATGATAGCATTTGCTGCTTGCTCTGTTTCCCCGGATTTGCTGATTTATTGGCCAAAATCAATATCCTTGCTCACCCATATTCTTAGCATGGTAAGGTTCTCCTGTACCCGCTGAACCATCACTCGAAACTAATGCCTTG